GAATGGCGATAGCTATCTAGTCTCAAGGAAATGTCTTCTTCCTGATCCTTTTAATAGCCGCCTGCACTGTGTGGAGTATGTTTGCCCAGAGGAGAAGGGAAATTGGCTTCTGTAGAGAGGCGACTCCCCGCCGCCTTAGGGACCAAGCCTGCCCACCTTTGCAAACTATTTGTGTTTTATCTCTGCAAGGCTGTCAAGAGCTTTCATGTCAGGACAAAAAAGGTTTTTTCAAGCTTGGCATGAGGATATTTGGACAGATAGTTCATTTATGGTTGTGGGATTGCCCTGTGCTTTCTAGGATAATCAGCAACAACCCCAGCCTCCATGCCCTAGGTGTTAGAAGCATGTGCCCAGTGTGACAGCTCAGATGTCTTCATATAGCACCATGAGTCCCCTACTTCAGAATCACCAGTCTAGATGGGTAGTCTGAGGCTCTGGTGGCTATTAGAGGTGGAAGGGACCCCTGGAAAAGCAAGGCCAGTGACCATCGCCAGCTGGCCCCGCATGAGGAAGGAAAGACCCAGGGCTTACCTGAGTGTGCTCCAGAGCCCTCTCCAAGACCCTTCTGGCAGATGTGGCTTCTTTTTCTTCCTTTCTGGCATGCATAAGAGCTTCTTCTAGCTGCTGCACTTCACCCTATAATGAAACGCTGGGTCAGAAGGCATTGGGATGTACTCTGATGCACTCCAGTGCTGACATGTCTCTGGGCACAGCATGGCTGTGGTTGCAACATGACTGTCATGGGCTCAAGATAACACAGACCAGCTGGGTTCTTGGATGTGTGCCTCTCAGAAGTCCCAGTTCTAGCACACATGAACTTCTAGATTACCTAGGTAATTTGTTTGGTTTGGGTCTTTTTTGTTTTTGTTTGTTTGTTTGTTTTTGAGACAAGGTCTCTCTGTATCCCCAGTTGGTCTGAAACTGGCTATGTAGAACAGGCTGGCCTTGATCTTACACAGCTCCATCTGCCTCTGCATCTCGAGTGCTGGGATTAAAGGCATGCACTACCACGCCTGGCCAATTTTTTTTAATTAAAAAAAATCTTATTATTTTTATTTTATGTGTATGAGTGTATTGCCTGCATGTAGGTAGGTGCACCTGTGTCATGCAATGCCCAAGGAGGTCAGAAGAGGGAGTTGGATCATCTGGAACTGGAGTTACAACAGTAGTTAGCTGCCATGTGGGTGCTAGGAATCAAATCTGGGTCCTCTGCAAGAGCAGCCAGTTCTCTTTAACCACGGAGTCATGTCTCCAGCCCCTGGCCAATTTTTTTTTTTTTTTAATACATATATCTAGCTTTACCCCTGGAAACTCACAAACTCCATGTATAGGGCAGATGAGGCAAGGCAATCTTATAAAAGGTGTGCACGTGATCTGATGAGTGCCCAGATGTGTCCCTCTGTCACCTCAGCTGCTTCTTACTGCCATCAGCAGGGGCCTAACTGCTTCCCACTTCCAGAGGTCTGGAAACTGGATAAGTGGCTTGCTAAAACCTCCAAAAACATTAGCTATATGTTAAGTAAAGAAAGAAAAGATGTCTTTGGTGAGTCAGCCTGGCTGTGGTATGAAGATAGCCCCTGCTTGGAGGCCCCCACACCTGTGTTTCCCACCCTGGCATCATCATCCCTGCCCCCAGGCCTCCTAGAAGATGCTTGCCAATCCTCTGGACCTTTCTAATAAACCATAATAGTCCCACCCCTCACGCCTTAAACTACTTGCAGGAAAGAAGGCTGTAAGCTGCCAAACCCCGCCAAGGCCCAGGGAGCCTCACCTCGCGCTTGCGCAGTGTCTCCTTCGTGTGAGCCTCATCGCCCTTCACGTCCTCCATTTGCCTCTGCAGCTGGGCCTCTCTGCGCTCCAGCTCCGTAATCCTTCCCTGCAACTTCTCATTCTCCTCCTTCAGAACTTTCTCACGCAGGTCAGCCCCAGCCTGGTTCTGCTCTGAAACATTGCTCCGACTTGCCAGGACCTCAACATTCTGTTAAAGAACACAGAGTGGTAGGAAGGAGCCAGTGTCCACAGGTGGTCCCCCACCCACAGCAAGACCCCCTGGTATAGGCCTGTCACCTGGCAGCAGAAGGCTGAGGCAATAAGGCTGAATGTTCAAGGTCAGCCTGGGCTACAGAGTTAAGTTTGAGGCTAGGTTAGGCAACTTAGAGAGACTTGTCTCAAAATAAGAAGTTAAAAAAAAAAAAATGCCAGGGGAGTAGGGCAGTTGTAGAGTACTTGCCCAGCATGTTTGAGGGCCAGTATTGAAAAGAAAATAACAGTGCTAAATGTTAGACCTTGTACTAAGCCAAGGGAAGGAGACAGTGCCAGTGCCAGCCCACAGGCCATATCCACATCCTGCCTGCCACCTACTCAGAAGGGAGGTGTAGACTGGGGATGAAGTTCAGTGGTAGAGCTGGGTTTGAGTCCTAGCACTACAAAAAAATGAAAAACTAGAAGATGAAGCATTATAAGAATAGCCATACCCACTCATTGAAGGTGATCTTTGCCCTCCTCTAGAAAGCACACCAGTCCTTGCCTGTGCTCAGTCCGTTAAGGAGGGCTACACCATGTAATGACACTAAGAAGCAAGTGCTGTTCTCATCCCACCTTAAAGATGGGAAGACCAATGAACTGGAGTGTGGCTCAGTTGGTAGAGAGCTTGCCTCACATGCATGGAAGTCGGGGTTTGATCCCTAGCCACATCAACTGGGTGTGGCAGCCCACTCCCCAGCACTGGGGAAGTAGAAGAGGCAGAAGCAAGACATCAGTCATCCTTGGCTACATGGTGCGTTCCAGGCTAGCCTGGGTTACATAAGACCCTGTCAAAAACCAAAACAAAGCCGGTCATGGTGGCACACTCAGCACTCATGAGGCAGAGGCAGATCTCTGTGAGTTCAAGGCGAGCCTGGTCTACATAGTGAGTTCCAGGCCAGCTGGTGCTACAGGGAGACCCTGTCTCAAAACAAAAATAAAAAGACAAAAACAAAACAAAACCTCCCAAATCCAACCAACCAAACAAATCCAACAAATCCAAAGAACCAAAACAAAAAGAAAAATAAAGACAGAGCCCCTCACATCCCAAACACAAAATGAACTCAAACTGGATCACAGACACAAGTTCTAACACTAACACTATTAAAACTCTTAGAAAAAAACACTGGAGTAAATATTTGTGATCATGATTTAGGGGAAGGTTTCTAGCTAAATCACCAAAATTGCAAATGACAAAGGAGTACAGATTAGATTTCTTCCAAGCCTAAGAACTCTTGTGCTGAAGGGATACCATCAAGATGATGAATAAATAGCCCACAGGAAGAGGAAAGATTCACAAATCAGGTCATACTAAAATAAAGAATCCTTCAACTTCATAATAAAAGGTAAACCAACCACTTTTAATAGGGACAAAAGATATAAATAGATTTGTTTCCAAGGAAGACACATGACAGTCCATTGAGCACTGAAGAGCTGTTCGACACCATCAGTCCTTAGGGAAGGGCCCAACAAAGCCACTATTCACACCTGCTTAGGACTGCTATAATTAAAGTGCTGGAGGAGACAGTGAAATTAAAGCCCTCATAAATTGCCAGAGAGATAAACTTGTGTAGCCATGCAGGAAAACGGTTTGGCAATGCCCCCAAAATATTAAATTGAGTTTCCCTATGACTAGCAACTTTACACCTTAGTATACAGCTTAGAGGAGTAAAAACTTATGGTCACATAAAAACTCATACACATGGGGCTGGAGAGATGGGTCAGTGGTTAAGAGCACTGACTGCTCTTGCAGATGACCCGGGTTTGATTCCCAGCACCCATGTGGCGGCTATGAACCATCCTTTACTCCAGTTCCAGGGGAATCCGAAGCCCTCATCTGACCTACACGGCACTGCACGACACGGGTGCACTCACATACATGCAGGCAATACACTTACGCACATAAAAATAAAAGTAGTAAAATATTTTAAAAAACCAAAAAACTCATACACACATGTTCATGGTATCATTATCATAGTATTCAAAAAGTACCCATCAATGAATGAATGAATGGGTAAATAAAATACAGTATATCCATGCCATGAAATATTATCTGCCCATAAAATGGAATGAAATGTGGATGCTACAACAGAAAACATGATTCTAAGTGAGAGAAGCTAGTCACGAAAGACCTCATATTGCCGTGGAAGGAAATGTCTAGAATAGAAAATCTAGTGAGATGGAAAGTGGCTTAGTGGTTGGCCAGGGCTAGAGGGAAGGACATGGGGAAAAGGGTGGGGAGGGTCTCCTAATGGGCACACACTGTGCTTTGAAGAATAGTGAAAACATTCTAGCATCAACTGCATTGTTAGCTATACAATGCTACACACAGACCATAAATCATTGAGTTACATGTTATGTGAATAATAGCTTAATATAGCTGGTTTTTATTTTTACTTTTTTTTTTTTAAAGGGATGGGGGGCTGGAGAGATGGTCCAGTAGTTAGTATACTGCTGGAGTTTGGTTCCCAGAACCCAGGTCACAGCAGCTCACAACAGCCTGTAACTCCAGCTCCAGGGGATCTGATGCCCTCCTGTGGCCTCCTCAGCCACTACATTCCTATGTACAAATCCACACACATACACATAATAAAATTAATCTTTTTTATAAAAAGAAAGGGACAGAGACTGATAGACACAGGGAGATCTGAAAGGCAGAGCAGGAGGGGTAGGGAGAGATAGGAGCTCACCCTTGGTCACGGGGGTTGAGAGGAAGAGGAGCCTTGAGATCCGTCCAAACCTTAACCTTACACGCATGGCCAGGAGGCTTTCGTTTACCCAGATGGCTCAGGAAGAGCAAGTTTAACTTTGCTTTAACCTTGGTTTGGGTCTAACTCGCACTCTGGCTTGCTAGATAAGGCCACCTTGGCATGCAAGTTCACAGCTGGCAGGGGTTACCCCAGCCCTAGCTTCTACAGTGGCATATGCCGGCTTGGCTCCAGGGGAGTTTGTGTATGGGCCGATACTTTACTGCTGTTTTAATTATTTGCAAAGTGATAATATGCTCCTTGTCCACAGTGTGGTAAACCACATTGTGTATACAAACAGTTTAAGCCTCTGTTGGAAAATTCTTCCAGAAACCTCCTCCTGCCCACTCCCCACCATAGTTCACTATTTTATAAAAAGCTCATAAAACAAACTTCCCTTTCCTGAAACCATACCTAATTCAACAACAGTCCTGCCATCGGAAAACAAATACAAACCAGACCCCTTTGTTCAAGCAAGCACTCCATGTTACTTTTTCTCCGTGAAGTCCAAGCAAAGAGAAAGAAAGCCCTTTCAGGACTCTGAAATGCTTTGATCCATGTATCATCTTTTTCAGATTCTTAATGAAGTCTGTGCCTCGTGCTTGTGGCAAGGACATCAGAGACACAGCACAGAGATAGAAAAGATCTGCTCAGCCAGGAGGTTACCCTGTAGACACTGACCCCAGCACAGTGCCAGGGCTGTTTCTGTGATTCTCTGATCTTAAGTTCCAGATGCCATAAGAACATTAAAGAGGACATCCCACCAGAAACAGCACATTTCTGAGTCACTTAGCTTTATCATACTACTTAGATACATACTTCTACTACAGAATGCTTACCTTAAAACGATTATGTGGATTTGCCACCTAGTGATTTACCTGTTATTCACTCACAAAGGCAGTCATAGTTTAAAAAACCTGCTCCAAGCCCCTGCTATTTCATCAACTTGAAAACACCCCACTAGACCACAGCCACAAAGGCACAAATACTAAATGTGCTGTTTTGTTGTTCAAGACTAGACCATGCTGCATTAAGATAGCTCTTCCGTCATACAACCAAGGTCAGAAGGTTTGCTGACAGTGTGTGGGCAGCATCAGAAAACATGTACTGTCAATTGCTGGAATGGCTAGAAACCAGTGGGGGGACTTAAAAGGGATGTTAGTAATAGTTATTGAAATTATGAGGGGCTTCCCTCCCTCCCTCCCTCCCTTTCCTTCCTTTATTTTTATTTTATGTGTATGAGTGTTTTGCCTGCATGTATGAGAGTGCACACCTGTGTCAGGCAGTGTGTACAGAGGACAGAAGAAGGCATTGGATCCCATGGAAATGGAGGTACAGACAGTTGTTAGCTACCATGTGGGTGCTAGGAACCTAACCTGGGTCCTCTCTGAGAGCAGCCAGTGCTCTTAACCACTGAGCCATCTCTCCAGCCCCAAGGAGTCTTCCCTTTGCCTCAGCAACTTCTCTCCTAGCACTTTAGCCTACACATGTGCAAACTGACACAAAATGAGGCTAACTACACACTCGAGTACAAAAGACTACAAATGTACTAAATGTCATTCAACAAATCATGTAGTTTCAGTGTGCTTTATGTATAAAAGGAATGAGAGACTGAAGAAAAGGGACAAGCATGACCACATAGACACTTTTGTGTACAAAATGAACGTAAAGGGAGATGAACATGTCTCTACATGGCCACGCTATAAAGTAGCAATCCTGCTTGGCTGTGAGATAGGGAGTTGAGGTTTTCGGGAAGAGAAGCGAAGGTAAGTTATCTATTGCAAACTCTTATAATTTTTGAGTTTTAAAAACAAATTCACTATGCATTCACACTTTAAAAAATAAATGTGCATTTTCTTTTTAAAAAAGGCTGACCCTTATGGCCATGGGTACCTGGAGGACAGTCAGCCAAGTTCTTACCTCCTTGAGCCTCTAGAAACCTTTTTCTGGCCAATTCACAGGCCCTTGTGGAGAGAGGGAGAGAGAGGGAGAGAGAGAGAGAGAGAGAGAGAGAGAGAGAACGTGTGTGGAGAGAGAGAGAGAGAGAGAGAGAGAGAGAGAGAGAGAGAGAGAGAGAGAGAGAGAGAGAGAGAGAGACAGAGAGAGAGAGAGACAGAGAGAGCGAGCGCCGGGGGCCCAGGAGGCAGCTGTACAAACAAAGCACAGGCAGCTCTCCCACGCAAGTTTACACAGTGAAGCAATTCCTATC